GTCCTGCGGCTAATCCATGGTCGGCAGGCCTCACGTTGGAAGTGGGGTCCGCCGGTGTCCGAAGATGGAGAAGAGAAGGCGAAAGCTCCGGAGGGGACTGTCCGAGTCAAATTTCGAGCCCAGCGTTTTCCTTCTCGCGGCCACGTGCAGACCAAACGGCCTGCGGGAGGGCCGAGAGTCGTCTCCCAATCCCGCTCTTGGGCTCGTGGTTGGCGCGAAAGTCACATTTTGAGCCCTTTGACCCCATTCTGAGGAAGAGCGTTGGGCCGGAATACGTATTCAACCAATAACCTGGTTTTGAGAGAATGGCATGTGTTTGTATTATGTATTCCCTCCCACGTGGTTCTTAAATATGGCCTCTATTCTGCCGTTATCAAAAAATGCTAGTTACCTGTTTCTAGTATTTTTCTTACGTTTTCTTTGTAGAATTAAAGAAAGCGAGTAAACGCATGAGCTGCCATAAACGGTATAAAATCCAAAAAAAGGTGAGTGTCGAGCTCCTGAGCACTCTGTTGTACTTGATTGACTGCACCTAGTCTTTCCCCTCCCTGAGCAAGTCCTGGTTAATGTGATTGGACCTCAGGCCCTGAGGGTTGCTGGAAAGAGGAGGCCCCATCGGGGTACAGCCCTGGGATTATGGGGTTAGTTTGGTGATAAGAAAACTTTACATGTTTGATAATCTCTGGAACAGGAAGGAGGGGTATCAAAAATAAAGCCCAGTGGTGGGTTGGGGTTTGCACGATTCCAGTGAAAGCTTGGTTTTCCTCACTCATTGTAGAGATGTTACTGAACTGTGGCTAGATTGCTTCTTGTGTGAATTGTGTTTGAATAGGCAGGTGTTGGTGAATAGTCCATGTTTTCCCTTGTAATAGGTACGGGAGCACCATCGAAAATTGAGGAAGGAGGCAAAAAAACGGGGTCACAAGAAGTCCCGGAAAGATCCAGGAGTTCCCAACAGTGCTCCCTTTAAGGAGGCTCTACTTCGGGAGGCTGAGCTAAGAAAGCAGCAGGTAGGTTGTTAACTGAAGCTGTGAATAAATGGAGTGTGGGCATGTTTCCTTTTTTCAGAGTTGGGTAATGGTACCAGGTCCCTCGGCTCACCTGTCTTTCTTACGCGTTGGACACAGCTTGAAGAACTAAAACAGCAGCAGAAACTTGACAGACAGAAGGAACAGGAAAAGAAAAGGAAACTAGAAGCTAGTCCTGATGTTGAGCCTTCTCATGGGGAATCCGTGGCAGAGGTATGATTGGATCTCGGGCCCAAAGCAGAAGTGAAAGCATACAGCGGGCTGGTGGCTGCTCTACCTCCATGGAAGGGGGAAGCTGAGTTTGGATTATAACTGCACTACTTCTAACTTTGCCCTTGTTTTGGTCACCCAGGACTTTGGACAAGGCAAAGCAAAGAAAGCCAAGTTGACCAAACAGAATCCAAAGAAATTATATTGTCAGGAACTTAAAAAGGTATATTTGTCTAGGTCAGTGTCTGAAAATGGTAATGGGCTTTAAAACTAGTCAATCTTCTCTACTAGCCCTGGCACCAGCTCCAGGGTGCCAGGTGGAAGTACAGTTCGGGTGAGCTGAATCCTTCAGCTTGCCATACCTGTCTTGGGCCTGTTCCTGTTACGATTGGCCTAAGGGAGTATTTTGTTTGGACAGATGCTCAACCATAAACATAGTTGATAAAAACGGCACTTGTGTTGAACATAGTGTGTTAACACCGTGGCTTTACAATGCGAATACATGAGAGTGTGACAACAAGGACCCTTAAAGTGGTCCTCAGCAAAAGGGCTGAGTGAAGTCATGCTCCCCAGGACCAGCACGCCTGGGAAACACCCCCCCCCCCCAGGGAGGCGTGTCTTGGCTTCTCAGCACCCTGGGACCTATCAAACAAATTCATGGTGGGGGGGCTGGGGATTCTTACAAAGGCTGGAGGGCACTGAACAAGCCTGTGTGCTTTGTTTTCTTGTGTGAGAAATGATGACATATCTGAACATTCTTCATACCATGTGGAGACATGAGATCCAACTCTGAGCTCACCGTGTTGCCTGCCTCCAGCATGATGCCGGGCATGGCTGAGCAGGTGGTCCCTGAAGTAGGGGTGTGCTGTGACTGTTTATACCTTGACAGGTGATCGAAGCTGCAGATGTTGTGCTTGAGGTGCTGGATGCCAGAGACCCTCTGGGTTGCAGGTGTCCCCAGGTAGAAGAGGCCATTGTCCAGGGGGCACAGAAGAAGCTGGTACTTGTGTTAAATAAATCAGGTGAGTGAAGGCCAGGTGCCCTCGGCCTTGCGTGTGCACCAGTGAGGAATGAGGACAACGTCTAACAGTCTGATGGTCGCTGAAGACTGATAAGATCCAACTCTGACCTCAGAAGCAGCACCTGTGCTGACTGGGTGCCAAAGCCAGGGCTGGGCCGTGAGAAGGGGTGTTCACATGCGATCCACCTGGTTTCTGTGTGGTGGGAGGGTGTGTGAGTGCTTCCATGTTTACCACCTTGTCCTTTCGGCATCGTGTGTGTGTGTGTGTGTGTGTGTGTGTGTGTGTGTGTGTGTGTGTGTTTCACAGAGGAAGTGGTGGCAGTGTTATCAGGTCCTCCACCTACACGGTGCTGCATCTTAGTTTAGGACCTGGGGACATTCGGGCTGTAGGGGAAAGCACTGAGGTGGCAGCCAGAGGGACTTGCGAAGCACAAAGGAATAGCACGTGGATAGAAATACTACGGCCAGGAATTAGAATTAGATGACTGCTAGCTGAGGGTAAGTTCTTGTGGGGTAAGAGGGAGAGGGGACTCCACGAATCATCACAGGTGCGGTAGGCGCAATTGTCCAGTGATAAGTAAGGATTGTAGTAAAGGTCCTAGAGAGCATAAGAGTTAGAGGAGAGATTGGAATAAATGGAGTCAGATAAAATTCATGGTAGCATTGCTCACCTCAGCCCCACTTGATGGTCCTCGCCACGAGAGCAGGAGCAGCCTTGGAAACCGAGAACCGGGAGCCTCTCTCAGCCAGGAGAGAATCAGTGGGAGCCTCTTCTTTATTGCTAACCAATCATTATATCACTGTAGGGGGACAACATTATAGAATCACACATCACAGGAGGGGCCAGTACAATAGGCATAAGCATAACAGGAAGGGATGAGCTAGGGGTGTGCCTATAGGAATGGAAGGGTCTAGGTATACATGTGATAAGATGGGCGGACCCTAGATTCATGATGGAGGCCTAATCTTGGTCATCCTTGGGCGGGTTTGACCTCCTACAAGGAAGTATACAACTACTATCCTTATCAGAAGGGAGTGGGCCCTACTTGTGGGATAAACAGTGGTGTCTGCTTGGTCTAGACAGCTGATAACTCTCAGGGAGAATGACCCCCAATCCACTCCTGATGACCTCCAAGTGTACAGTCATTCTCAAGCAGCTACGTTTGGCATATATTTGGGGGAGGCAACTTGGGAGAAATCCTTCTATTTCCCGTAAGTTCTAGAACTACCATATATACTCGTGTATGAGCCAAATCTTTTCAGCACCTTTTCAATGCAGTTTTTGTGTGCCGCGGCTGATATTCGGGCAGCTTATACTCAAGTGTACGTGGTATTCAGCATAAGCTTAGCAAACAGCAAGGATCTAGAGGTTGATACAGCCCTATTGCTACTGGCCTCAAGATGAGGGAGGACAAGGAAGTAGGGGAGCTTGGCGCACCCCCCCATTTAGTTCACTCCTTAAAGGGTGGGCCAGATGAAGACTTGTGCCTCGTGTCGGGCAAAATAGATTTCCTTTTCCTTCCTGTCAGATCTGGTTCCAAAGGAGAATCTGGAAAACTGGCTGCATTGTTTGGAGAGAGAATTGCCGACTGTGGTCTTCAGAGCCGCCACCCACGTGAGGGACAAAGGGAAGCCAATGAAGGTACCTTTGACGGGACATATATGTGGCTCTTTCTGTTCTTTGGAGGTTGAAATATGTGTGAGCGAAATCTTGATTTAAAAAGATACTAATGAAAAAATGATAAAGATCCAACTCTGATTTCATCCATCGATAATAAGATGTGAGTGTGATTAAGTGGCAGGTGGCTTGGCTTTCAGAAGTAGTAAACTAACCGTCTGTGAAGGTCAAGAAGAAGGCCGCCCCGTACAGAAGTGAGGTCTGCTTTGGGAAAGAGGGCCTCCTGAAGCTGCTGCGGGGGCTGCAGGAGACTTGTGGCAAAGCCGTCTGCGTTGGCGTCGTTGGTGAGTCTCATCGCATCTTCCTGGATGACGTGCCAGGCTGAGAATCGGAGTGCTCATACACTGGCCTCTCCCCCGACCCCCCTGGGGACCCGGTTACGGGGTGGGCAGAGCAGAAGGGCTTGCTGCCTGGCTGTTATTTGCCGTGCCTGGGTGTCGCAGGACGTTGGCTTCTGAGATTTCTGGGCTGACTTGAATCGATCGCTTAGTCCTGGTCCTGTTTTACTTGAGCAAGAAATGAAGACGCTAAGATGGGTCTTAGAGTTAAAGTGAAGACGATCAGATCCAACTCTGATCTTGCTCTAAATATGAAGCGTGATATAAAGTGATAGAAGTTTTAGGATTATCAGCTCATAGTACGTTGAATTCCTCATTTATAGGTTTCCCAAACGTGGGTAAAAGCAGTGTTATTAATAGCTTAAAACAGGAGCGGATCTGCACGGTTGGTGTGTCTATGGGACTGACGCGGTAAGTTGGGCACTTCCCTAATTGCACGTTTGAATTACAAGAGTGCTTGTGACTTCCTTTCGGCCATCTTGATTGAGGAAGGCAACTTTCTTTTCAAAGCTGAAGGAAAGGGTCAGGCTCCCAAGCTGGGCATGAGGTTCAAGCAGGGCAGCTGCCCCCAGTCTAACTGCAGAGACAGAGGAGCAAGTCAATGCAGAGCGAGGAGTCCGGCTTGAAAAACGAATAGAAGTGTGCCAGACAAAACAGACTTGCATGAGTCACGGCGACCCTCTAAGACAGGGTCGACCCGCCCCCTGTGAGTTTGACTATGGCTCTTTATGGGCGTGAGAAGCCCTGAATTTCTTCCCTGGGTTGGGGGCAGGGGCGTTTCAGTGGCTGACATGGTCAGTGCCAGCCCGAGGTGTTAACCCCTGCGGCAGCGGTCTCCTGGCAGAGGGCAGCGTGTGTTGACTGCGATGTGTCCGTGAAGGCCTGGCATGTTGGAGGGAGGGATGTGAAGCAGTGATGAGAAACTGGATCTGACTGGCTGTGCTGAGTTTGTTCAATCCAACCCTGAGCTTCACGTTCGCCTTTGCCACCCTCTAAACCAGGCCCCTCTAAGTGCCCTCTCTCTGCTAGGAATGCGCAGGCTGTCCCTCTGGACAAACAGATCACCCTCCTAGACAGCCCCAGCATCATCGTGTCTCCCATGAACCCAGCCGCCGCTCTAGCCATGAGAAGTCCAGTGAGCATTGAGGTGTTAAAGCCAGTGGAGGCTGCCAGTGCCATCCTAGGCCAGGCAGATGCTCGACAGGTAACAAGCCCTGCCACTTCTCTGACATCCTACGCCTGTGAAATACAGGAGCGTTTGTGAGGGAGTATTCGTGCTTTTCCATTCCAGAATAAAATTCTGAGATGTGCCTGATTTTATACGAGCAAATTCGTGGGTTCCTGCTTGAGTCTTGCTGGGACCTGTAAAAAAGCCAAGGGGTTGGGCTTTGTTTCTGTGTGCAGCATGACAGCCACTGCCTCTGTCCCCACTCTGAAGCCCCCCTTGTTTGGCCTAACCACACATCAGTTGATGGCATTTGGATTGTGGGCCACGTGACAAGTCGATTTGAGCATGAAGAAAGTGGTCTGTTTAAAAGTGGGAAGCTGTACGACAGCAACATTCCAATAGAAAGCATTCGTTGTTTTTCCAGGTCGTGCTGAAATACACTGTCCCCGACTACACTAGTCCTCTGGAATTTTTCACTTTGCTTGCGCGGAGGCGAGGGCTGCACCAAAAAGGTGGCAGCCCAAACGTGGAAAGTGCTGCCAAGCTGCTGTGGTCAGAGTGGACAGGGGCTTTGTGCTACTATAGCCAGCCCCCAGCGTCCTGGGCCTGCCCTCCCCACTTGGCCGAGCAGACAGTGGCATCTATGAAACTGGGCTTCGATGAGGAAGAGCTGCGCAGGAACAACGCGCACAGCATTCAAGGTGAGCGGGACTAGGTGCCACTGCTGGGGGCTAGCCGGGTCCTCCTGTCTGTTCACCTGACACGTGTCCCCTGCTCAGCCATCAGAGGATCTCGCCTGGCCACTAGCCTCTTTTTCCAGTCCTGGGGTCTGACCAACGGGATCACGGAGGAAAAGGACATACCCGAGCATCTGCCAAGACAGATTGTGACGGAGGAGGACAAGGACGACCTTGACGGCCACCAAGAGGGTGTTGACGGTGAAGAAGCCCAAGTGAGTGCACCAGTATCCCGCTCAGAGGCCTGTGCTGTCCTCCCACTGACTCCATGGCATGTGGCAGACACGGGCCGCTGACAGCTACCCAGCACCTGTCTCTGTCTTCACAGGAAGAGTGCCCAGCTGCATGTCCTGCAGGAGGAGGGGCACTGGCCACGGAGCCTCCAGCAGGTGAGTCCGGCTGGGGTCAGTGGTGGCTTCCTGCAGCAGCGTGGCACAGAATGGCCTTTGCTTTCCAGACAAGACAAAAACTACCGCTTTTCTCTAATACAGGTGGACACTCCAATACGGGTGGGCAGGTTGGTGACCGAGCAGCACAGCCACTCAACTCGGATAAGCCGACAGGAGGGGAAGACGGCGACTATGACTTCAGCACGGACTACGTGTGATCCAGCCTTGGCGTGGCCTTTGCCCTCTAGGGGCGTCTCTTAGCTAAACACTTGACACTGTAGCCGTGCATCCGTGTGCAATAGCTGTAAATGTTGTAAGTATGTGATACGTCATTAAAATTGGATTCCAAAGCTCATGGGCAATGTATTTGACACCACAAGGAAGAGATGGGGGGCTCACTTCACTTTATTTACACATCAAGTCACGAGGTAATACATTCAAGCCAAAGAAAGGTTTTCAATGTGAATCAGTCCACCATCTTCCTTCCACGGTGTAAGGAAGCACTCGCGGATACACCGGGCTTGTAGCAGCGCAGTTCAGTTTTCCGTGGGCCCTGAAGCCCAGCCACTGTCCTCAGTCTCCCAGGATATCCCGGGAACATCTGTGACTAGGAGCCCCTCTCAGTTTACCTCCATGTGTCTTCGGACAAGGCTGAACTTCCCTGTTGGATCAGGAATATACCATCTTTCCCATACGTCAGCATAGGAGGCAGTTCTTCCCCACGGCTTAAAGTGCCCGTTCCAGTGGAGTAGCTTGGCCGCCTTTACAAACTGGGGTGAATACCGCTTTCCAGCACTGGAGCCTTGCGTGAGAAGAAAGAGACTCGGATGATCGTGCCCAGTCACATGACATGGCAAAGCAGAGAAAAGCCAGCCAGTAGTTAGACCAGGGCTTCCCAGGGTGGTCAGGAGCTGGACAATGGGCTGGAGTACAAAAGCGTCACACTCACTTCTGTGACTTTTGTTCCCCTGCTTACCAAGGTGGCGGACGTTCCACATGGGGTCGAGGGTGGAGTGCTGCTGGTAGAAGACGATCAGCAGGGGAGGGGTGGTGACGCTCCCAGCCAGGGTCCTGCTGTACAGCCCCTCTCTGCGGGCAGACCACACAGTGTTGTGAGTTGAGACTCCTGACAGCCTACAGGTCGTACACCTGGGTGGGGAGCACTTACTCTGCGTTGAGCTTCATCCACTTCTCCAGCTGGTTGGTTATGTTCTGTCGTCTCCATTCCGTGAGGTTTGCGACAAAAACTCCAGGGTTGAAAGAGCAGGTACTGGCTTTCATGGAGAGTTTACGAATCCGTTCCTTCTTATAGTCCAGGTACCCAATGTAGTTGTACTGGAAACGCAAGTGCTTATGTTTCAAACCAGGTGTGTGGCTCCCAGCCACAGCAGCGGGTGAAAAACACTGCCTGTGACTTCAGGTTAACAGAGAGCACACAAAAGTGACACCAGCGGTTTCTGGACCGTGTGGTTATTGCACTGGGCTATGAAGCACAGGACGGCAGTGTGAAACCATCAACAGGCTCCTCGGAACAAAGACGGCCTTCTACTCCTGTGAACAGGCACTGAGTCACTGACTACCCTAGCCCTCAACATCCGAAACCAACCGATGAAGGAGAGCATGTTTGTGTTTTGGGAGAATGGAAAGCCATCGTGGTGGTTCCAGCCCAGTGACCAACCCTATAGGGCAGAGTACACTGCCCCTGTGGGCTCCCAAGGCAGTAGATCTTTCAGGGGAGTTGATTTTGAACTGCTGACCTAGCAGGTTAACAGCCCAATGTATAACCCACTACAACCAGGGCTCTGCAAAGGCTAGGTTCTCCCCTCTTCTGTGTTGGGAGTGGGGTTGTCCGAAAGGTCTGATGAGGTAATGAGGTAAGTTACCTGGTTTCCTGCTCCCCGGACAACAACTTTAGCAGAAGTTGAGTCACAATCTTCTGAGAATGCAGCTGCATGTCCTGGCTTTAGTGGTGTATTGTAAAGGGCAAGAACGTCACCTGAAAGGGATAAGACATGGTCCCAGTGGCCCACAGGTCACCCACTTCTCCCTGGAGGCCAGCAGGGGGCAGGGCAGCATGGTCTCCCCCAGTACCTTGCACGATCACATCATCGTCCACATAGATGGCCTTCTTCGCACTGGGAACCAAAACAGGCAAGTAGAACCTTGCGAAGATTAACTGTCGATGAGGAAATAGCATTGACTAGGCTCTTATTCACGCAGACCCCACCCAGGAGAAGGTGGCCCCAGGACTGCTCCTGAGAACTGCTCAGGCTGGGTTCCCTGCACCCAGCTTTTGTCTCCTCTCCCAAGTACAAAGAAAGATGCAAGGCAACTCACTGGTTTCACAGAATCCCCCTGGACAGGATCCTGCTTTACTTTCCCTTCCAAAAGCTTAGTGTCAAAATCCACAATTTTGTACCTGATATTTTTCAGTGAACCACTGTTGAGCCAGGACCTGATGAAGAAAGCAGTTTGTTTTAAGTAATGCCCCAAACAGTCTTATCTTTGTGCCTTCCAGTGAGAGCAAATTGATGAGAAGCCCCAGGGACCCTGGAAGCCGTGTCTTCAAACCCTTCACTTCTTTGCTCCTCACAGACGTTCCCACCAGTGTCCTCCCGGAGCTAAGATTCTCCGGTATCAACATGCTGCTCACATCAGCCTCACACTAAAAGGTGGACGTTGAAAAATCCACTATGAAGTCGAAGCATTCCATCCCCACACAAACGAACCACGCGTCCCTCTGGATACGCGAGGGGAAGACGAGTCTCCAGTGACCAAGGATGGCGAATGAACACTAACTCCTGACGGACGGTATTTCTGCTGTCTATTTTAATGCAGCATTTGGTTCCATATTAGGTGGGTTCTGAATTTCTAAAATAAGTTAAAATAAGTCATGATAACTTTTAAACACAAACGATGGAGAATGCCACAGGACAGAGGTGCTTTAGAACTGTGATACCCTATAACCTGACGGACTAGCTATTTGGGAATAGCTAATAAACCTTGCAACTTTTTCTTTTCTGGTAAGCATCTTCAAAACCTGGATGAGCCTGTCCATCAAGTGGGGTTTTTATTGTTAATAATGTAATGAAACCCACTCACTGAGTGAAGACTGGTCTCACTGGCTTGATAGAAAAACTGGGTATTGCCCCTCGTCTTTAAAGAGTAATGCGTGGGCTCCCAATAGCTCTGGTATTGTTCCAAATCACTCAGTTTGTGGGCCAGGGTCCCCACTTCCCTAGGCTGCCTGGACACCCCTCGCTCCTTCCCACTAAGGACACAATGGTCCAAAGCCACGAGACTCAGAGCTTCACACGCCGGCTTACAGGGCGTGTCCTGACACGTTTCCGTTTCCTCCACGAGAAGCACAGAAAGGGTTGGCATTTATTAACCTACCATTTATGCTGACTTTTATCCATGTATCCAAACTCATTTTCCTAATCCTCCCAACCTCGAAATTCTGTGGTACATTCCTACAGATAGATAAGCGCCACTCTGGCATGAATGTGCACCGAGTATTAATCCCAGTCAATGGGCCTCGTTCATGAAAGCGTGGCTTTTGTGGACAGACGTAGGCGTCAAGTTTCTCGCAGTCACCATCAATGGGTGTGCAGACTCACACTGACCGCCCCAAGTGACCCTTTAGGACATGTCGAACCAGTGTCTCAAATGTGTAACCACATAGTATACGTTCTATATAAACATAGTACCACATCGTTTTATTTATGTTAATATGGTATATAGTTATGTGGTTTTGAGAATGTTGGCTTCATTTGTGTGGATGTGATGCGAGTCCACAGATCAGTATATGAGGGATGTCCACACACCTGGTACTGAAGTCAATCGGCTGCTCCCTATCAAGGAGGTCTCATTCCCATGAAAATACCTGCTAGCCGACCATCACTGTGACAGTCACCGGGAGAGGTGGTCTGTGGTATTGTACAGACAGTGAGCGCCTGCCTTGGCCCCTGGACTGCTCTGGGGCGTCTTCTAGCAAGCCCAGCTCACCGGAGATGGTCGGCTGTGCCGTTGAGGGTCACGATGTAGAAAGCCACATGGGAGCGGGTGTTGTGTTGGATGCTGTTGATGGCGGCAATGGCCCCGCCCAGCCGGTCTTCCGATGCAGCAATGACCACAGGAATCTCTTCGGGCCACCTGTCGACTGCAGGCTGGGGGGCATTGGGGGCAAAGTCTATGGGCTGAAGCCCCCAAATCCCGGTATCTGTGAAGTGCACACACACAGAAGGCAATGCAACACACCATCCGAACGCAAGGCAGGAACAGCAGGTGGGCAAGCACTGTGTGCAGACGCAGCAGCTCCCCTCCCCCACCAAGCAACTTTTCTGAAATGCTTTTGACATTTTGTGTCAAGTGCCTTAAACAAGTACAAGACCTTTGATCCAATAATCCCCCTTGTTGCCTCTCTTAAGGACAAAATCTGAAATGTAGTCAAGTCACGTTTTACAACCGTGAATACTACCTGGAAGCAGAAGAGAAAAAAACGACCTCTTAGTAGGCATGGAATCAGTTTAGTGGGTCACATGGGAAGGAACATTCTGGAACGGAACAGGAAGGCTGAAAAGAACAGCAGCGTGCACGCTGCACTGCACGTGCAAGCACTGCTGTGTGAGCCCTTCTGGTCCTTCACTCATTCAACGCTGAATGCCTGTCAGGTGCCAGCACCGTTACAGGGCCTGGAGGTCCAGCCGTCAGGACTCGAATCCCTCCCACACAGACACGGAGCAAACAGCCATGCGCATGCATGTGCATGTATATTGTGCATTTCTGATCAGGGCCTGGCCAGCGAAAACGGAGCGAGTGGCTGTGAAGAGCCCCTTACCTGTGGAAACTCATAAAGGGCGCTCTGGCACGAGACAGGGACGGGACAGGTGATGGGCACGGGACTGCAGTGGGTTTGCCGCACAGAAGCGTGGATGAACTGCTAAGGGCAGAACTATGCTCTGCTTGCAAACCTGCAAGCAAAGAGTTTCCACGATCCTGGTGGCAGGCTTATGACGGGAGTTTGTGGAAAAACATGACCTCATCTGTACAAGGGGGAAAAACCTCAAATCTGGAAGTTGATCAAACTGAAGTTTCACTGACAATGACCTCCAGGTGATAGAATCATCCACTGCGCTCAAAGAGTGATCGGGCGTCTCCCTGGTGTCAGCCACCATTCTGAAGCAGGGAATGAAGCACCACTGGAGAAAACTATGCGGAGCTTAAATGTGATTTCCTTCTTTATAAACACCTGCACCAGGAGCGTGCCTGCATTACTGTCTAAGCATGTATAGCCACACGCGTTGCTATGACGGGAAGGCAGGGGGAAGACTCAGCCCGTCTTGAGGCTTGGGCCAACTACGGCCGGTGGCATTCCGGAAGTGACTCTTGATCAACTCCCTGCGGCCTCAAGCCTCCCAGTACCAAGGCGGTGGATGCGGCACAGACAACTCATGTAAAGTAACCGGCTGGCAAGCACTTAGAGAGCCCGCGAATGGGGCTCCACAGGAGAAAGGAGGGAGCGGGCAGAAACACTCTAACTCAGGGGTCTTTGGGACACACACGTGGCTCTGAAGGAACACAGAAACCCCGGGGAGGAGATTACTCAGGTAATGGCGATTTCATTTGTGAAAATGTATTTATGGCCCTCGAGTAATCTTTAAATTGTTGTGAGGGCCAGGGTTGGTTCTTCCGCCTCAGCAGTGTGCCGGCCTGCTCTAGGTGCACAGAACAGGCATCAAAGACCAGCCACACTCGCCTGCCCCCATCAGTGGACTCGGATCTGGATCGAATCAGCTGACAGATCAAACCCCTGGCAAGTTACCGCACGGAGAAGGAAGGAGTGTGTGAGTGGGAGTGAGTGGGGCGCACTTCCCAGCACAAGAGCCTGGCGAGTCCCCACGGAGAGTTTCCCACCAGACTTCAGCAGGGTTTGTTTGTTTGTTTGTAAGGTTGGGAAGAAAACGTTCTTTGCCCTTCAGGGGGATGGAACGGAGGATGCGGGATGCAGAGGACTCCAGGCCCCATTACCTGAAGCCTCGTTCCGTAGCAAATTGCTCAGTCCAAGGAAGTTCCGGTGCAAAACCAGCAGGAATAGCGCAATGGCCAAGACCAGGATGATGATGTTCACTGCAACGAGGGGGGGGCATGACGTCCCTTTAGCCTTTCACTTTTCAACGTGTCATGAGTCTTCTCTGTAGCTTCTGACCAGGGATAACAGCAATATAACTTATGGGAGGAAAGCAAACACATACCTACCTTTACGGAATGACATCTTTCTTTTCTGCCCCAAACCTGCAAAACAAAAGCCAGCCCTAAAGTTAAGGAAGTACATGGGAACGGGCATCAAGACACGCACACATTTTACTCCAGAAGGAAAAAGCTTATAATGTACTTTCCACCAGCAATGCATTTTGAATGAAGTCCCCAAGAACCAAATTTGGGATCTGAATTCACAACTCTCTTTTGAAACAGAATTTACAAGAACCCAGTGCTATGCTACATGCAGCCTTAGCCCTTAGAAGACCGTTCATTAGGTGCCATGAGCGGAAACATAAAACTCCACCAGGAGGCAAGCCTGGGCTCTCACCACCGCAGCGGTATAAATGGCTTATAGTAGACTACTGACTGAAGGGGTGGTTCATGTCCACCCAGCAGTGCCGGGGACAAAGCCCTGGCACACGACGTCGGAAAGCTGCAGCCCAATGGAGGACAGCGCTACTGAGACATGTGCAGTCACCAGGAGCCAGAATCAACTCAAGGACAAGAGACGATGGTCACCACTCATCTGTTCGCCTGCCACACGGGTGGCTGGCATGTGGCGATGGTGCTAGAAGCTTTACAACACACCTCTCACACAACAAGAGCGTCGCCCCATGGCGGGCAGGTGCCAGCAGAGCCCCTGGGCTTGGAAAGAGAGCCCTGACAATTGATTTCCAAAGATGAACCAAGCAAACCTCTTGGGGACAGTGCTGGAAGGTGAGCTCACTGGGGTGGACTGGGCGGGAGCTGCCTCCTCACAACAGGGTTGACCTTCACAACGCAGATGGAGGAAAGCTGTCAAGGCCTTGACCTTGCTGACGCCCCATGGCGTCAAGCAAGCATCCACTAGAGCCGAAATGTGGAATGTACGCATCAAGGAAGATTGGAAGTCGACAACAATGAACTGGAACACGTGAAGACTGGCATTGTGGGCGTTAATCTGATCGTGTAGGGTCAATAGACTGACCCGCTGCTGCTACTGCTGCGTCCACTCGACCCCTGACTGCCCTGCAGCACAGAGGAGACTTGCTTGCCCTGGAGGGTTCAGAACACTGGAGGAAATCCCTTATGGAAGCAGACTGCCACATCTCCTCCCACAAGCAATTAAATAGGGTTTAAAAAAGAAAGAAAACATTTGAAAGTTGAGGGGTAATGATTGGACAACTCTTCTTGAAGTGAGTGAGCTACTGAATCGCAAGACATGTGGAGCTTGTGCCAATGAAACTGCAAACACACACATGGGTTTTAACAGTCAGACGTTCCGTTCACAGCTAGGTGCTTTCACCTGTGTGCACTCACTCTAAAGAAGTACCCGTGTGTGACCCAGTGGGCACAGCGATTCAGGCTTGATGAGAAGGTATGCTTCAGGCGTTAAGAAATGCGTACGGAACTCCGCTCATCTACAAGTCCTCCTGTCACTCCTGGGATGATGGCCTGTGCCTTACCGATGATGTGACGGTACTCAACTCTGGGCTGTAACCAGCTGCAGGGGCATTACGAAGAGTGGAAATTACTCCCACATACGGACTTAGTTGTGCTCCTGCGAACCTGCAGATGGATCCAGAGGAGCGCAGTGGTCTGTGAGAACCAGGGGATGGACACAGCAGGGGTCCAGAGTGGGAAAGCTGTGTGGCAAGGATGCATGCTTTTACGGAACTTGGTCAGTCTGTCTGTGTGCTGCACCAGCATGCAGGAAGCTGGACTATAGGAAGAGTGGGGCACTATCGCTGGAAGAAGGCCCCTGAGCAACCTGTCACCTGCAGCTGTGTTCCAGTGGGAGGGACAGCATAGAGTGACATGTCTATTTCTACAGGATGGCTGGAATGTCTGTTAAAACACACCAAGGTGGGAACTGATCACAAGGAGCCCCCTCCCTGGGGGACGGACAACAGAGAAGTGGGTGAAGGGAGACATCAGTCAGCTTAAGACATGAGAAAGTAATAACAATTTATAAATTATCAAGGGTTCGTGGGGGGGGGGGACGGACTGAGGACTGATACCAAGGGCTCAAGCAGAAAGAAAATGTTTTGAAAATGATGAGGGCAACATATGTACAAAATGTGCTTGACATAATGGATGTATGGATTGTGATAAGAGCTGTAAGAGCCCCCAATAAGATGATTTAAAAAACAAAATGACGCACCAAGGTACACGTGCACAGCACCTGGACATCGGAGTAGGCTCCTGCTACCCCGTTGATGCGTGCCCATGCACTGGCCCTTCTGAGCTCTTAAAATTACAACTGTTTTGCAGCCGCCTCTCCCATGATGCAAAGGTAGAAGGCTCGGAAGACTCATTCACCTTCTCCCCAGTTCCTACTTGGCTTTCGGGCCCCTCCAGTCTCCATATTGGGATGCACCTCCCGTGAGCGCCCACATCTCCTGGGCTTCCAAAGTTTAGCCTCCCGGTGCCCCCGAGTTTACTGAGTAGATCTATGGCTCCAAGAGGGTTTCCAGGCAGGGATCCTACACCTGAACCACCAGGTAATCAAGCAGCTAAACCATCCGGAAAACTCGCTCACTGCCACGGCCTTCCAGTTGGTACCAACTCATAGCGACCCTACAGGGCAGGGAAGAACTGGCTCCTCTGGGTGCCCAGGCTGCAACTCCACAGGTAAAAACCCACTCTTTCTCCCGCAGTGCAGCTGGTAGTGTGGAACAACTGACCCGGCAGTTAGCAGCCCAACAAGTAACCACTACCTACCAGGGTTTGTGGGGAGTGTTTGGGACACTGCGTGGCTCTCTCTCGATGGATTTCGGGATCTAGGAAGGCCAAGTGCTGGTCCTGGTTGACGCCTCGGTTCACAGGCGTCGTGGAAATGTACCGACTGTGAATGAGAGCGGCAGTCACCCGTCACCCGCCCTGGGGAGGGCCTGGCCTGCCCGTCTGTGCCCTGACACGCACTACACCGAAGCCGCGCCGGCTGGGACCAACAGGTTCCCCAGGGAGCGCTCGCCCAGCAACGTTGGCCCCGCACTTCGCGTACAACAAGCTCCCCAGGCTTTGACATCCACGTCAGCCCCGCGCGGAGGGAGGGCAGAGCGAAGCCTGGGCGGGCCTCCTTCGGACGAGTCGGGCCCGGGTCGGGGAGAAACCACTGCCGGAGGCGGGCGTACGGAGAGCCGAGGTCGAGAACCCTGCTCGGTGCTGGAGCGCGGGGCGGTCAGGGCACGGGATCGCGCTCCCGAGGAAGTGGCCCGGGGTAACCAGCGCATTCTCGGGGCTCCATGGTACCTTACTCCTCGGCGTGATCGGGAGGCCTCGAGGCTCGGCGGG